TATACAGCCCACCATACCGTCTCTCTCTCTCATACTCTCTCCCCTCTCTCCCTCTCTCCCTCTCTCTCTCCTCCTTTTCTTATTCTTCTTCTTTTTCTTCTTCTTCTTCTTTACAACCTGCAACAAAACACAAATCCACTTAAATATTGAGTGTAAGCTTCATTACAGCCCACTATTCCTCTCTCCTATTTTCTTCGTCGGAAAACCCAAACAAAAAAAAAGACCCAACGGGGATTACCACCTCTAACCTACAACTGGATCAAAAACTCCCACCATTACATATTCAAAATCAATCTCCAAATGTTCCAGGGACATTGGTTTTACGTTTCCTTCAAACAAATCGAGCTGTCAAAAAACCAACAAAAACTTACCTTAAAAGCTTCAATCCATCAGTTTTGCATTCATCAATGTAATCCTACAGAAACTCAACTCAGTTTAACACCAACTGATTCAATCATGCTTACATCTACACACCACAGTCAGGGATTCCACCTGATAAAAATGCATAAAAGCTCATGGGTTTTCAGAATATGCATCATGAAGTGGGTGATTCTAATGTTTATAAAATTCAATCATCTATTCTTCATCAGTAATATGCATAAAGAAAACACCCAATTCCTCATTAATAAACACGAATTGCTCAAATTGAACAAAAGTTGTAGAAATTGAAACTCACAAAGTCTTTGAGATAATGAATGGATCCCAGAAAATCTCTTCACCAGAAAATCTACACCCAACCACATAATAATAAACACCAATTGTAGAAATTGAAAATCAAAATTCTAAGCTAACCTAGAAATTTTCAAAAAACACAAAATCAAATCTAAAATGGAACCTTAGAAGATTTCGATGGCTGGGGGAAAGATATTAGTAGGCTGTTACAAGTTAACACATTTCAAGCTGTCGAATTTGCTATTGGATTTACCGTTGTCGTATCGAGGTTTTGGTCTAGGTGGCAGGCTTCAAGCTCTAAAACGTAAACCCATTGGCTCGAGAAGAATAAGGGGGAATGGATGCAGCGAGGTAAGAAACTTACCGACGAGAAGGGTCGACGACTATTGTAGGGCATCTTGATGGGAAAGGAAGGTGATAGCTATGGAAACGAATTGATCATGGAAGTCTTTTTGATGAGAGAGAGAGAGAGAAAGAGAAATATGTGGGGTGGGTATTGTCTGGTCAAATGGTCATGCCTGCTTTTTTTTTTAAATATTAAAACAATCAAAATAAACAAAAAAAATGTAAAAAAGAAATAATAAGGGCAAAATAGTCTTTTCATATTTATTTGGACCAAATTCACGAAAAAGTTTTGATTTTGGACCTTCTATGCAAGTCGAAAACTTTTTGGACCCTATCCAAAGTTTTTTGCAAACCACAAGGACTAAATTTGCAGTTTTGTCATATTAAAATAATATCTTTAATTCTACTTATAAAATTATGTTTTTTTAACTTTTAACATATTATACTTAATTTATTAGTTTTAATATATTGTTGGATGTAAACTATTATCATTTTAAAGGTATAATTTTTGATCAATTTTTATAAAATACTTAAATTATTAATTAAAATATAACATTATAGGCTTAACTTAAATATAAATTTTATTTAACTTAAACAACCCAAAATTATTTTATAAATAGTAAAAGAGATAAATTGAAGTGCCTTTCTAATAATGATTGTAAGTTGGTTAATAAGGTTAAATAAATATCAAACCTAAAGTGTAATCATAAATAGACTAAATTTCAATTTTAAAATAATATATTTACTTCTATTTTTAAAGTTATGTCTTTAAATTTTAACATATTATACTTAATTTATTAGATTTAAAATGTTGTTGCATGTAAACCATTATCAATTTAAAGCTACAATTTTTGAATAATTTGAACAAAATACTTAAATTGTTAATTTAAATATAACATTACAATGTCAACTTAAATATAAATTTTAATTCCACAAAAAAAGCCAAATAATATTTTGTAAATAGTTAAAAGTGATAAATGCAAAAAAGTATATTGTAATATCAGTTTAACTACAATATTTCCTAAATATATTTATATAATCGTTAAAATTTTCAAATAAGTAGTTTAATATAACTTATAATAACAATAGTTAAAAATAACTCTATATAAATGATTATATTGTTACCTTTAAAATCAAAAAATAATGTTTGATGTTTTAAATAATTATAATGATAGAAATTAAAACATTAAGCAAATATATTTTAAAAAATTAGTTAAAAATAACAGCTATAAATAATATTAAACCATATATAATATTTAATTTTATTAATGTGTAACTCGCGAGTAGAAGTCATTCAAACGATTGAGATTATGACGTTATAATAGATTTATATATTATCATATAATTCAAAATAGTCAATATATTATATCAAATTAATATACGAATTATTATATCAAATTTAACAACAACGTTAGTGTTATATTTTAAAATATATATATTTGTAAAAACTTCAACTATATAGGTGTTTCTGCGCATTACACTGTCACCTCAAATATAAATTTCAGTTTCATTTAAAAAAACTAAATAATATTTTGTAAATAGTTAAAAGTGATAAAAGCAAAAACTAAATTGTAATTTCAATTTAACTAAAATATTTCTTAAATATATTTTTATAATCGTTAAAAGTTTTCAAATAAGTAGCTTAAAATAATTTACAATAACAATAGTTAAAAACAACTTTATATAAATGATTATATTGTTAGCTTTAAAATAAAAAAAACAATGTTTGATATTTTAAATTATTATAATGATAGAAATTAAAACATTAAGAAAATAAATTTAAAAAAACTAATTAACAATAAAAACAACTATAAATAACATCAAATCATATATTATATTTAATTTTATTCATGTATAACTCGTGGGTAAAAGTCATTCAAACGATTGAAATTATTAAGTTATAATAAATGTATATATTATCATATAATTCAAAATAATCAATATATTATATCAAGTTAGTATATACAAATTATTATATCAAATTTAACAACAACATTATTGTTATATTCAAAAAATCATATATTTGTAAAGACTTCAACTATATAGGTGTTTCTGCGCAACGCGCGGGCATTCGCCTGATATACTTATAAAGCTTGCATTTTTTCTTGAACCACATTCATTTGAAACTCTCATGGATTTTTTTTCTTTCACTACATTCATTTAAAGGTCCCATGACTTTTCAATTTCTTTATAATAATTATTATAAGTTGGTTAATAAGGTTAAATAAATATCAAACCTAAAGTGTAATCATATAAACTAAATTTTAATATTAAAAAATATATTTTCTTCTACTTATAAAGTTTGTTTTCAACTTTTAACATATTATACTTAATTTATTAGGTCTAATATATTGTATGTAAACCATTATCATTTTAAAGCTACAAAATTTGATCAATTTGTATAAAATATTTAAATTGTTAATTTAAATATAACCTTACATGATCAACTTAAATATAAAATTTAGTTCAACTTAAACAACTCAAAGAATATTTTGCAAATAGTTAAAAGTGATAAATTAATATAGTGTCTTTCTAATAATGATTGTAAATTAGTTAATAAGGATAAATAAGTATCAAACCTAAAGTGTAATAAAAAACAAACTAAATTTCAATATTAAAATAATATTTTTATTTCTACTTATAAAGTTATGTTTTAACTTTTAACATATTATATTTATTTTATTAAATTTGATATGTTGTATGTAAACCATTATCAGTTTAAAGCTAAAATTTTTGAACTGTATGGACAAAATACTTAAATTGTTAATTTAAATATAACATTACAAGGTCAACTTCAATATAAATTTCAGTTCCACTTAAAAAAACCTAAAGAATATTTTGTAAATAATGAAAGTGATAAAGTGTAGTGCTAAATACAAAAACTAAATTGTAATATCAGATCACTAAAATATTTTCTAAAGATATTTTATAATCGTTAAAAGTTTTGAAATAAGTATCTTAAAATAACTTACAATAACAATAGTTAAAAATAACTCTATATAAATTATTATATTGTTACCTTTAAAATCATAATAAAAAAAAAATTGTTTGATGTTTTAAATAAATACACTGATAGAAATTAAAACGTTAACAAATAAATTTTAAAAATAAATTAACAATAACAACAACTATAAATAATATTAAACCATTTATTATATTTAGTTTTATTTATGAGTAACTCGCAGGTAGATGTCATTCAAAATATTAAGATTATGCAGTTTTAATAGATGTATATATTATCATATAATTCAAAATAATCAATATATTATATCAACATAGTATACGAATTATTATATCAAATTTAACAATAACATTATTGTTATATTTAAAAAAAGTTTATAAAAACTTCAACTATATAGATGCTTATGCGCAACGTGTGGGCATTCGCCTAATAAATAAAATGAATTGAAGCAAAAGTTGATGGATTTAGTATTAACCCGTTAGTTAATAGCAAGCAAATCAAATTATTTAATTAAAATTATACAAGTTGTTTCAGCAAAAAAAAAAACAATTCCTTAGAGGAACACCTCTAAAAAGATGCAACATATATGGAATTAAAATTTTATAAACTGTTTTGTAATTTTTCCCCGTCACATCAGTTTCTTAAAAAGCTTTCTTGTTCTTTAGAGGTAAACGACTTTCATATATACTCTTTGCGGAAATCATAATCATTTTACAAAAATCGATTTTTCATGGTTAAAATCTTCAAGCACCCTTCGTTTCTTAAATTTTCTCTTCTCCAAACACAAAATACTCACATTCTTTTTGTTAACAACTATCTCTTTAAATTTGAACATGGATGTTCATGGTTTTAACTTTTAACATAAAAATGATAAATCATTAATATGATGATGAAAATAATTGCCGATGTACCCAGTAAACTGCAGAAACAAGTTAAAATTACGTAATCTGACAGTGAATAGTCACTTGTCTGCGATACAATCGAGATCAATCAAAGGGAACGTTTGTTGTAAATCATGTTTCCCCTTTTTTTTTTTTTTTCCCAATCGACTTCCGATTGCATCATCTCAACCTTGAATCATACTCTTTTCATCCATCCCCAAATCTACCAAGGTTTTGGTCCACCTTTTCCGCCCTCAAAAATGTCACGACGTCGCCCAAAGTTAAAGCAGCAGCAGCAGGCCTGTCTCTCCCTTTCTCGGGCAGCGCGTCCTCCAACAGGTGAGCTCCTATTTCATTTTTTTATGTAATCGGGAAATCTAAGAACCCTAATCGCAAAAGCCAAGGATTACAACGATTTTGTCTCGACTTTATTGATTTGGTGAAGTTTCGGGATGGAAAAAAGTAGAAATTTGGTGTCGGTTTTCAAACTAAAATCCACTGTTTTGTTAAAGCAAAGCTTTAAAAAAAGAAGATCTCTCTCTCTCCCTCTCTCTTTCTCTTTCTCTCTCTGTGTTGTCTTCTTACATGGCGCACACGCACACAGTGCGTGTATGCGATACAGTGAAAGCGACCCAAATAAAGAAAGAAAGAAAGAGTGGTCAGTAGCCTACAGGGTACACTAAAATGATGATGAGGGAATCTCTTTTTCTCTTTCACTGTTAACTTTACCAGTTTCCTCTTCCCTATTTCTATCTTTTTTCACACACAAACACTTCTGTCTTGTGATTATCATTTTCTTGTAGTGTTTGTGATGCTTTTGGACCTGTGTGTGATGAGATGATCTAAAATGTCAGTTCTCTATATGGGTTTTTCTTTAACTGATGACCTTGTAAGTACTCCCATTCCCTTCTTCTTTCGATTTCACACTTTATGATTTGTTATAAAATGTCAATTCTTGATATGGGTTCTTCGTTCTTAGATGATCTTGTAAGCCTTTTTTTTCCCCTTTCCATCTGTTTGTCTATTTCATTACGTTTCTTGATAATTTATCGATTTACAGGAGATGAAAGAAGGGGTGGTGGTTCAATTGAAAGACGACTCCGGTTTTGATTTGGAACCGGAGTTTGAGTTTTGGCCGGTTCAACACCCAACCGAACCTTCCCATGAAGATAGACCGGTTCAGTGTCCTATCCCTCACTCTTCCCACCTCATCAATGTAAGTCTTTTCAAGTTTCTTGAATCTTGATAATCGCGAATTGTTCTAATAACTTCTGGTGTTGTAGGATGAAAGAATGCAGGATGATCGGTTTTCAGATCGGAAGAGACCGGAAGTTACAGAACCACCGGCGGCCACCATTAGAACAGTTCGGAAAAGGCATCACGACCACACAGATACAATCGCACCATTGCTGCAAACGCCGACTGTGGCTGTTTATCCTCATTTGCATCAGAAGATGAATACGACTGTTTTCAATAAGTTTCATCAAGTTCACAGGTTTGAATCTTGAAATAGGAGATCAAAATCTGGGATTGATGCTTAAGTTGCAGGTTTTTATGCATTCTGATCATCATGGTGTTTTATGACAAGTTTAACTTTTAGGTTTAAGGTGATGATAATAGTGGATTAGATGATGTAGTACTCTTTGGTGAAACTATTTACTATTTATGTATGTATAATACGATATGAGTTTTTGTTTTGTTGTCCCATTTGTTATCCGACTTTTGAGATCACCAAACGGTTTGTTTAAATTCAAAAAGTAATAATTGGATATTGATCAATGGCCCAAATTCATTTAATTCACCATTAACACTTTCTTTTGTTATTGTTAGTAAGGATGAAAAAAAAAAAAAAAAAAAAAGAGCAAACTACAATTTTGGTTCCTGAGTATAGCACCATTTTGCGATTTTGGTCCCAAGATATAATCAGTGTGTAAGTTTGATTGTTATTTTGATTTTTTGTATCCATTTTGGTTATTGAATGGTTGCTTAAGAGAAATTTCCAAATTACACCCTCGAATGCCAAAAAATAACCAAAATAACCCACATCTTCAAAAACGACCATCGAGTCCAGCAGAAGAGGGGCTTCTACCAACTGATATCTATTTAAAGGGCCATGTTTTTCATTTTAGTTTTTAGGTCCGTATAAGCTACTCTACGATGCGACCTCACTAAATATGCAATCTGCAAAAGCATAAGTTAAGAACGACTTTGTAGTTTTCAAGTTGACAGAGGCCTCAATATTCGTATTGCAAACTTAGTAAAAAGGAAAAAAGACGGTTATAGAAATTTTTTGGGGGTATTTCAAAATTTAGTGACAATAAAAACGAGAGGCCTCAATATTCGTATTGCAAACTTAGTAAAAAGGAAAAAAGACGGTTATAGAAATTTTTTGGGGGGTATTTCAAAATTTAGTGACAATAAAAACGAAATTCCAGCTATAGACATGCATTTTGTGGAGCACCCTCTATAGGTTCCGCGGACAGACAAAATCTCCGTGGAATGGGGGTATTTTCCTAATTTATCCTTCTCTCTTTGTAAAAAATCGATCTCCTCTTTGGTCCCCCTTGTTTTCTCTTTGAGTTCCATTTTTTGTTCGAGTCTCTGCGTCGACTTCAAGCTTGGATTTTCCGGCGATATCGTCTTCAATCCCATCATTTTCTGGCGACAACGACTTCAACTACGATTTTCCGGCGTCGATGGAACGGAATTTCCCCAACATTTTCGCCGATTGATACAGCTCCCGGGTAATATTCACATTTCCCTCTTTAAATTAATGTTTCCTTTTTTCGTATTGTTTAGATTTAAGATTAAAATTGTTTGAAAATATAACTGATAACCTACAATATGTTTAGATTTAGATTTAGGATTAATTGGGTTTGAAATAGCGAAGATCCATTCAGTAGAGGGGTAGGTCACTCCGTGGAGTGATGTATACTCTCTGTGGAATTGATTAAAATGGGTAAAATGTCTCTCTATGGAAATATAGGTCACTCTGCAGAGGGGTCTCTGCGAAATGACCTAAAATGCCATCCCCCACCCCCTTTTTGTGCCCTTTTATATTAATTACTCCCTCCGTCCCAATATTTTGTCCACAGACAAAAAACACACAGATTAAGAAAAACATTGATTACCACTAACTTTATTTAATAAAATGATAGTTTTATCCTTACTTTGCGTTTAATGTTCAATTAAATGCTTAGTTGGTTAAGTAATAATGAGGGGGTATTTTGGTAAAAATGTTATTTATTTTTAGAAATGGACTATTATTTTGGGACAAACCAATAAGGAAAGATGGACTATAATTTTGGGATGGAGGGAGTATTAATTAAATAAAAGTACATTGTTATTTATTTCCTAAACCGAATTAACTATGTAATTTTAAAACCTTGTTTTTATTTTCAATTACTAATGTTTTATATTAAATTAAATGTATATGTTTTGTAGCACGATGATCTCGATCAAAAAACAGATTTAACTTTAAAATGCGTGGTCGGTACGATTATTAAAGGCTATTTTCCGCGCCTAAGACAATCGCAACAAACATTATTTGAAGCTTCACCGTCTGAAGATTCTTAGGAATGCATGTCCTCAATGGTGACCCCTTACTTGTGCATTTGATGATGTTGTATGAAGTAAGGTCTTAAGAGGTGTTTGAAATGGGGAGGTTTCTTTTTGAGATACAGGGGATGCAGTTGGATTTTGGTGAAACTGAATATATTTTGATTAGCGGGTTAAGAGTTGGTCCTTATGTGGATTTACTCCATGACGAAAGAGGCCGGTCAAATTCAAAGCTTCGTGCTCGATTATTCCCAGACATTACAAGTGCACGTTTGCAGCTTAAAGGTTTAGAAGACTACATTATGTCTCCGAATTATTTGGCACTTCACGATGAAGATGCTTTAATGCTTATCCAACTTGTTTTTATGTTGAAAGGTCTCCACGGATGGGACGTTAAAACGGGCATTCCCGCGGCAATAAACAAGCTTGTTGAAAATATAGATGATTGGAACAGGTATTACATTTAAAAATTATGTATAAATATAATAATAATTATAATAAATAAATTGAAAATTACAGGTTTGCGTGGGATACATATTTCTGAACCTATACTTCGGGGTTGATGCGTGGAATGTTTGAGAAAATAGAAAATTTTAGAATATTCAAGCAGGCTAATCCTGAACCAAAAGAAGTACACAAGTATATCGTTACTGGTTTTATGCTTCCGTTTAAGATTAGTTTCTAATGATGCGACCTTGCTTCCGCTCTCGCCCTCACTCTCTCGTATGGTGCTAGTTGGTATCTGCAAGGTCACAGAAAGGAACAAACGTCAGCCGCTTCCCAGGAGGAGGCTCCTGGAAGAACGCTCTGACGGTCAAGTTAGATAGAGTTCTGGGTTTTGAGTGAATACTTCTTGAAAGGAGATTGCTTACCTTTAGGTCTCCTAAGCATGCCCTTTTATACTTAGCGACCCTACTCGTCCGTACGAGACATAATCGCTTTTAGGGGACAAGGTCAGAGGCGTTGATTGGAGGGTTGTGCGCCTCTTTCTATCAGAGCACTGCCATTGGCTCCGACGGTAATGCCCTGAGCATTTGGCTTGTCGCTTCGCGTATGTCCGTATCTTTTATCTTGGCGCCGTGAGCGTCTCTGGCGGGCGCGAGCTTTTTGCCGGGGCGCCCTGCTCTTAGGGGCACTGGCGGGCGCTGAGTCCGCTTAGCTTGGCTCAGACAGTGCGCCAGGCTCCTCAGCCAGGTGTAACTATTTCTTGCTGGCTTAGGCACATCATCAAGTCCCCCAGTCCGGTAGTCGTAGCTTGTACTGCTAGCTGCGGCGTTCTGGACTTGATTGGCTTGGCCAGGTGTAACTCTTTCGTGCTGGCTTAGGCACATCATCACTAATGTATTTAAATAATTAGCATACTTCCGTTTTTAATACCCTAATAGCATTGTACTTCTGTTTGTACTATAAAATACCGTTGTACTTTCATTTTTATACTATAATAACATCATACTTACCTTTTTTCCATAGATATGGATTACGGAGACGTTCCCAGAGGCAACACAATATTATGTATGCATGCCGACAGAATTGCCACGAATGAGGTCATGGAGAAGAAAAACACAGTTATCTTGGGTTCAATGTCGTCGAATAATCAACGTGTCTGTGAAATGCTTTTTATATTGTAATTATATAAAATTACAAATTCCAATGTTTTTTTCATGTTAAACTAACAATCTGATTTTTGCAGCCTAACAACCATCCTATTGTTGTCGTGGAAAACAAGATGGAGCTCATGGAGCCGTTTTATATTCGTTATGTGAATTGAACTCTTAACCATGAAGAATCTCCCCCACGACAACAAAGTACACCTGTTGTTGGCTCACCTCCTCAAAGAAAGAAGTACAAGTCGGAAAGATCGTCAACTGAAACGGCCACATATGCTTCTACCTCCCAACAGCCTAAAGTAGAAAGAACTTATATGTCAAGTGACACATCAACAAGGTCGGTAAATAAGAAGAAGAAGAGCACAAAGGAATTGGTGAAGCGTATAATAGGCATTGTGGCCGACTTAACTTCTAAAGTAGACCGTATATTACAGAAAAAAGATGAACCAAATACAGGGTTTAGAGAGGAGGAGGACATGGTAAATAAAGAGGAGGAAGAAACATATTACCATGGTACAGAGTGGCATTATGATGATACATTTACGCATGGTTTTGGAGGGGGAAGTTGGGCGTACACCTATGGTCAAAATGTTGAACCATCACTGGACGTGGGTCAACATCACAAAAAACCAATGTTTTAAAAACCGGTTTGAACCGGCCGGTCGAACCGGTTGGACCGGGAACCGGGAGAGGAAGCGGTTCAACTATCACCGGTTTTACATTGATTTCTAAACCGGATTGAACCGGCTGGTTTTTAGAAAAAACCGGTTGAACCGGTCAAAATAAACCGGTTGAACCGGTTAAACCGAATAAAAACACATGAAAAAAAAAACATTTACATAATAAACTTTGGTAATTTTTTTCAAATCTATTTAGTTTTCTCTAAATAAAAATATATGGTAAATGTTATAAATTCTTTTGATGTGTTTGTATTTATCAAAAACTATATTTCATTTCGGTATTATAATTTTTTTTTTTTTTGATGTATATGGATTGATATAAAACACTAAAACTTATGGTTAAAGATTATTTTAATGTATTTGTACATCTACAACTTATTTTATATTTATTTTTAATGTTTGAACTTGTAAACATCAAATTCATAATTTCTATATGTATGCATGTGTAGGAAAATAGAAAAATACATGAAAAATATAGAAACTGGTTCACCCGACGGTCGAACCGGTTAAACCGGGAACCGGTCACCATACCGGTTCAACTAAAAAACCGGTTTTTAAAACGTTGCAAAAAACAGTCATTCCTATTGTTAGGTAGCAACGAACAAGGGGCGCTTCATGGTATTAGCGGACACCGTTCACAGTGGTACAAAACTCATATTTTAAATGTACTATATTTATAAAATATTACATTATTGATAAGTAATTTACATTTTATATTTTTAGATCGAATCCACACCAAAGTTAAAGAAAATCACTAAACCAAGGAAAAAAAAAAGGTAGTGGAGTGTCTCGAAAAAGCAAATGAAGATATTGTGAATGAAGACATTGGTGATGTTTCAAATCATCTACTGTTAGATGGTCTTTATATTGTTATTACGTTGGGTTTTTTGAAAGAATGGAATATGATCTCTTCCAACGTCAACACTACATACATGCTACATATACTCCCACTGGATGTGGAGTTTTGGTCAAGGTTACTTGAAGTTTGGTCAAGGTTACTTGAAGTTACTGACTCTAGGTGGTTAATTTCTTTAGTAACATTCGTTAAATTTTAACAACTTTTTAGACGATAATTTATATAAATAATTGTAACATTTTTATCTTAAAGTGTACAACATATTGCAATATGGAGTGTCTTGCTCATGGAAAGACGGTCGGCGAACGCAAAGTGGACAAGATACCCTCAAGAACTGAATTTGCAACCCGGAAAATCATTTTTTTAGGAATGTAGCAAATGGTGTTGGAGGCTATCCTAAATGGAAGGATGTGGATATGGGTAGTTTATTTAATAATTATTTATTTATATATATAATATTACCGAATTTACTAATGTTTAATTTTTTTGTTTCCAAGTTCTATTTCCCATAAACGTTGTTGGTATCCATTGGTTTTTGGCAGTGTTACATTTAAATACCTGGAAATTGCACATTTATGATTCATCACGATTTATGAATTTCTTCTCAAAGTACAAGATTGGTAGAGAATTCGAAAGTTTTGGGGATAGTATTATCTCAGAGCTAGATATGATTGAGTACTGGAACGATTTCCCCGGTAGACACAGAGACAATGCAACTGTGGAGTTTGTTGAAACTATAGACACTCCACAGGAGGAATACATCGAAGATAGATGGATTGTGGAGTATTCATATGTAAGTTTATGGAAATGATTGTTTCGGGGGTACCATTGAAGATTGATAGGCCACTTAGAGATGCGGGATTTCTATATAGAAATGGGATGGCAAATATTATTTGGGTCACTATATAACTTGATTTTAGGAACTTTGTATATATTAATATGAAATATCTTTTTTAGTAATTTTGTTTAATATAAATATGTGTTTTATTTTTGTTATTATATTTGTTTTATGGACTGCCAAGCCACTTTCCGCGAACTGCCATTGCACTATAGAAGTTGTGTTATTCAATGATCTTTATAATAAGATCGAAGGCACACGTGTGAATAATACTCAGGAAGTCATCTTGGAGGCGGCTAATGAATAATACAAATCCATTAGCAATAGAGAGATTTTCGACTAGGAAACCCCTTGGAATATTTTGAAATATCTCTCGTATTTTTAACTTATATTGCGTTTGTATTGCTTTATTTATATGTACTATGATTTTTTTTTAATGTTATTTATCCTTTATTTTCGGAAACATAATGCACCAACAAATATTACGATACATTCAAATAAAAAACATTATAAATAACATAAAAACATTACAAAAAATTAAAAAAATAAACCTTGCGAATAAGATGTAGGACTGAAAAAAATTACATAAAACATTACAAATAAAAGAGTCATCTACATGAAAAATGTTTATTTTTAATGAGATTCCAAACATTCATATACTCGAACTCATTTCCATCAAACTCGCAAATGTAATATATGTTCATGTCTTCAAAAAGTTCTTCAACGTCTACATGAGTGTGTCGCATTTTCTCATAATTGTAGCATTGATTGAACCATGTGACTTTTCTCTTTAAATCCATCCATTTACTAACAATATCGGGTTTTAGCAGTTCTTGTCCTTCTCCCACCTCATGGTTGAACAAAGCTATTAGACGAGACCATTCATCACCAACAAGGTAATGAGGAGGAGCCATTGTTGGTAGACCCTCATAAATGGTAATCCAACATCGTGTTAGGACCAAGACCTCTGTTGTCATCCATGGATGTGTACCATTTGATGGAGTCGCTGCATTTGACGAATTTGTTGCATTCGAAGAACTTGGTACATCGGACGCCATTTTGTGAAAGGACCCCTCTTGTGAGTAAAATATGTGAATTTCATATAGATACAAGCTTTATTATATAAAAAGATAGGTTATGCAGACTGACAAGATAGGTTACGCAGACTGCCAAGTCAGTTACGCAGACTAAAAAAGTTAGTTATGCAGACTGTCAAGTCAGTTACGCAGACTGGCTAGTTACTTCCGTGGGCTGCTAATTCATTTACTTACGTGGACTGCCAATTCAATAACTTCCGCAGATTGACAAGTCACTTCCTCAGATTGCCTAAACAGTTCTGTGGAATAATGATTATGGATTTCGTTTAAATTAGACAACCATTTTCATTTTTAGAAGTTGTTAAAAGTTTTCGAAATGAGTTCAGTCAATGAGGTACTCAAAAAAAGTTTCTCCAACCTACTAGTATTTTTTCATAATCTGCAAAAAACCAATCCTAACACATTCACGTGAATTAAGAAATATTTGTACGATCGTTTCTAATTTTGTTTTGTGGCATTGGGATAC